ATATATATAAAAAAACACATTTAAAGTCAAAAGAAAAATTAATTTTTTTTATATTACTTAGTCACGTTCCAGGCCAGGCTCGCTGCTGATGCCCCAAAATGGGCTCGGTGGAACCAAGCCCGAGACGGGCCCATTCGAACTTTTTCCGGGCCGAACTCGAGCCAACGAGCTTTTTTGACATCCCTACGCGTATACCTTCTCAAGTTGCACTAGATAATACTTTTATGAGTATTTCTGTCATGCAAATCATAATTATTACCACACGTGAATAATAATTTTTTTGTTAAGCTTTATGAGGATCAAATAATATTTTGCATCATCATAACCAACTTTTCCCCGAATCATGAGCTATTAGCAAGATATAATAGTACATATATTGCACTTATATTGCGATCAATAAATTATTAACTATCATCTTGAGGATGAAATGGTCATCTTTCCACTACAAGTGAAAAAATTACCATCGGTTATCAAATGAATTTCATTTTTCTATATGCAATCATTTTAGGACTTTGTCATCAAGTATTTAATGGTAGATAATATCATTTTATAATAATATTCATTGAAGCTTATGATTTTCATGCATTTTAGGCTAATAAAATATGAGACTCTAATCGCATTCACCATATTAGATAATATCATTTTATATTCATTGTTAATTCTTAGAAAAATTCAATTTCTTTATTGCACAAATACCAATGGGTAGTTTACTAGCTTTACACTTTTCAGTATTTTGGAATTTGGAATTTGGAATGTAGGTCACAACATAGAAATCTGTCTTGATTGCTTCCTACTTTGGCCAAATAATTTTAATTCGACAATCTTCGACAAATTTTGATTCAAAATTCTCACTATCATTAACAATAGGGATCTATAACTATGTTAAACATATGTATTCGGCAACTACTTCTTTTTCGATTTGATCTCATCCCCGTATAGATATAACATATCGAATTGTCTTTATATCACTAGTTTCGGGTACATGAAACTCTTCTCGAATTTTCTATTTAGTTATGTCTTTGTACTCTCAGAAGCATCTGCCTCAATAGTAGGGATGGACATTTTAATTGAAATCAAAACTCTCGAACCAAAATCGGTCAAAAAAAAAACTAGGAACTAGAATTGAATAAAGATCGAGTTGCAATCTATTCTTGTTTCTTGAACCGAAACCTTGGGTACCTGACCCTAGAATCAAAATTTTCTTTTTCATAAGTTTTTTATACATACAATTTGTTCACCCTGATCTAATGACCCGATACAACTAGCAAGTTTGCTAAGCTCAACAAGTAGCAAATTTATAAGGCCTAAGTAGCAAGTATCCAAAATCAAATAGATTCGTTTATTTTAATAATTGAATCATATTACTTTCGTTCGTAGTCATTCTTAGCTGTAATTTACGCTCTACTTACCTCGGAGTCTATGAAATTAATTTAAAAGAGTTACAGGATTTGTAGATTTTTGATAGAATTTTTATTATATACAATTTCTACGAACTTATTTCTAACCATCGAAATCAGAACGATCTAATTTAACTGTATTCTCATTATAACGATATTGAAATTATTGATTACGTATTTTATAGTTGAGCAATGTCTAGTATTGTTCTATGGAATTTATATGATTGAGATTATTTACATGAATGAATGTTTATATCTGTCGTGACCAATATATACTATGTATTAAGATTTGGGGGGTCCATCTTAAAAGGTCAACCTTATTAAGAGGAGTAGCCCAAGATCTTTATTAATTGGTCTGTGTCAACATCTTTATTCGATGTGGTATCAGAGTCCATTATGCTCCANTCTTGTGGGGGCGTGTTAAGGGATATAATTCCACATCGAATAAAGATGTTGACACAGACCAATTAATACCAATTAATAAAGATCTTGGACTACTCCTCTTAATAAGGTTGACCTTTTAAGATGGACCCCCAAATCTTAACACTATGATCGTTAGATTCAATTATAAAACTAAAAGTGCGAGTATAGGTCGTAAACCTTAAATTTATATAATTTTTCATTTTTTTTTCTCTTTAATAGTATTGGTCGTAAACCTTGAATTTAAAATTTTCTTGAAAATTGGGGTTTTTATTGTAATTGTCTCTGGTTTGAAGAAATTGAAGGCACTGGACGAAATTGAAGAAGATGGAGGTGGATGGGGGTGGGGATGTAAACATGCCGCGGTACCTTAATGCATCATCTTCAAATAAATATAAATATTAGATATCAATTATAAAGATTACCCAAAAAATTGATGAACAAAAAATTATGTGATCGTGAGTCACAGTCATATTGTACAATGATTAAACCCCAGTTTGTTATACATTTTTTTCTATTTGTATAAATATTATGACCGTTGCACAGTAAAGCATCTGACATTTTTGACCTCCTTTGTGTGATGATGGGGCCCAGCTGTTTGAAAAAAAAAAGGTCAAAAAATTTCTAAGAATGGAAAAAAAATGTAGAACAAACAGGGGCTAAAAATGTATTTCAACTTTATTGGATAACGTGATAGTAATCTCATTGTCACGTACATAATTGTTCATCACCTATACTAATGAATAGCATTACTCGAGCAGTTATAGCAAATTTATTCCTTGCATACAGATGAATTATCTATGTCATGTAATATTATCGAAATCTACAAGTTATATTGAAAAAATATAATTTTTTTTTTTAAAGCCGCAATGCAATTTCTGGGATACACATAATTGCATAACTGTCAACATAAGATTATCAAAATCCACAAGATTATAAAGAAAATCCACAATAATGGTCAAAGTTAGATGCAACATTTTTACAAGTCATGAAAATAAATCCAAGAACGTTACTTTATTCAAGGATAGCTAGCTTCAACGTAAAATCATTTAAATCCACAAGATTCTGAAAATCTGCCAAAAAACAAAAAAAAATTCTCAATAGATTAAGTGAATTCAACTTGTAGATATCAATGCCAAATCGTATTTAAGATCAATGAATTTGTGAAAGTTCTTATTATCAATAAACATAGTCTACTGAGTGATTGTGCAAACAAATAGATGGCAAATATCAATACTTCTTTGTTTCTTGTTACTTTTCTTGTGGGCATTGTTCTTTGCTCTTGTACTCGAGACCTCAAATTGGATGACAAAAAACGAGTATGCCACATTTCCGCACCAAAATATTATCATTTTATACATAACCCTATAATTATCATTATAGATTTATTAGTAATAGTAATGCAAGCGCATCCGCACACATATGTACGTATGTATGTATATATGGTTTCATTTGATTTAAATTTTGTGTATCTGTAGGGGAAAATGTGGTGTGTGGCAAAAGTATCTGCAACGGATGCCCAAATGCAAGCATTTTTGGATGCTAATTGCGGAAGTTTGGATTGCGGACAAATCAATCCAGGTGGTACGTGTTTTGAGCCAAACACAGTAAGAAATCACGCATCGTATGCTCTTGATTTATACTACAGAAACAATGGAGTGTGCAATGCTGATATCGGTACTCCAGCAGCCACCAATCCTTGTAAGTGCTATGGTGTCTATGTTATCAATCCCAAGTGTATTATTTAAGTCTATGTTTTCGATTGTCTAACCTTTTTATTTAAGTTTTGATCATGGGTTCAACGTATCTTATTTCACGAATTTGTTGGTGCAGCTTATGGGAGATGCAAATATCCATGAGTGCAATGGAATGTCAAGCACTTGACAAGGGCTAGGATTCTCATAAAAATAATTAGTGTAAGTATCGCATGTATTCGTCAGAAATCATCATTGCCAATACTTTCTTGATTATCGACAGATTAGTGTTAGATAAATTGTTGTTTTGGTGTAAAGATGCAGTATGAGAGATGCAGATTAATAAAATGAATCCTAAACCCCTTAATGAATTTGCTGATTTTCGTGTGTATAAAGTGGTTAACGACTTCGATTAGTACGCTAAAATGCAACTTGTTTGTGTTGGAATCAATGCTTGTGTATAGCTTAGTTTTTAAAATTTGCATTCAATCATTTGATTTGAAATGTATGGAGCAATCAAATTTAACATAGAATTAAACAAATAGAACTGCTATGAACAAACAATGCACTATGTTTATATAGGTCTCCAAACATCAACTATAGAGAAATTTTATGAAACACACTAGCATCTGTATCCCTTCACAAGGCAGACTCAAGACACTGAGGGTTGAAAAATAGAGAAAAATAAAAGAAAGCCGAATCCAGGACGACAAATATGACTAGATTGCAGAAATCAAACAGGAACAAGCACATTATTCAATACACTGCAGAGACTTGCAACATAACTAGTTTTGGGGCTTCTCCCATTTGAGGGGCTGAGATACCTCCTATGTGTAGTCGGGATCATCTCTTCTGAAGTTAACAACTAACACGGACAACTGCACTATGCATCTATAGACATGGCCATTGGAAACAATGATTAATCTATTTATACAACCATCGATGACAATGTGGTTGACAATGTACGAGCTGTCAAAAAAGTGTTGGAATTAATTGAATTTAAGTGTGTTAAATAATTAAATGTGATATTTAATAATGTGGGCCATTACAATTAATTTGGGTGAATTGGAAAAATCTCAAATATAAGCCCATAAGTTGATAAGTACATTTTAAGTGTCTTAAATATGGTTAGGAATTCCACATCGAAAGTTTACAAGAAAAAAAGACTTGTTTATATAGTAAGACGTGTGAACAAGTTATAATTTAATAAGTGACCTACAACTTAACTAGGCTAGACAAAGGCTATTGAATTAGCCACCACTAGAGTGGTTCTTCGCACCACTAGCGCTACCCTACGCCCCGGCCTGGCCCGTGCACGTCGCAAAGTTTGCTTTGGGCACTTTAGAGACGCACTTTAGAGATGCACTTTAGAGACGCAGTTTGCACTTCGTACGTACAATGACATGGCAATGAGAGGCTCGATGAGTTAGCATCCTAGGTGGCACACACGTAACATGTGGCATCACTTCGTCCTGCATGGCAGTTAGTTCAGTTGGATGTACGAATGACATGTATGATGAAGGGACACTATACTTCATGGTTTAATGTGGGCCGTCAGATCATGAAATGGTGCGATCCACTGGCTAAAACAAATCAGACCAAGTGGTGCACCAGTTCATGTCATGTCACACAACCATTCAATGAGACACTTCAATTTCTATAAATAGATACCTCCA